GACGACCTGAATTCAGATCCCATCAAGCTCGAAGTAAAGATTTATTCTATACCTTGTAAGGTCAAAAGACCACAAAATATTTTTACCAATCAAAATGACTTTATCTTATAGTACAAACCCATAATTTACAAAACAAAATGAATGTTTCATATATAATTTACTTAAAGACTCTTAAAATCATTAATTTTAAAAATTAACACACATAATATAGATTTACATAACAATGTTTATTCATTGATAATTTATCCTTTTTCACGAGTATGCACTGTATATTTTGACAGGCTACAAACATCAGGTTAGATGTGTAGTTTATATGAATGAGAAAGTCAGAGAGTATACTGCATACATTTTGTGTTATGCCTCAGCTGTTGAGGATATTCAAGTTAAATACTGATGCATAAACTGAGCTTGTAAACCAGTCGTAATTCATTCTTTACACGTTTATTCAGATCCTACAACTCTCATCCAGTAATTTTACGATAGGACAATGATACTACCTTCCGAATAAGATTTTTGTAAACGGTAATTTCAGAGAAAAGAAATAAACTTATTATTCGGTTCTCATGAATTCATTATAGTGCCACTATTCTGTAGGTATAATTGCTGATGTAATTTCTTATTCTTTGATGGCTTGTATGCCATGGCATGCTGTTTAAGAAGATGTGTGGTTTAACACATTGGCAGTACAATAATGGCTCCATTGAAATTAGTTTCTAAAATACAATGATAAACATTGAAAGAGATCACAAATCTTTAGATGGAAAAGGGGGATTACACATACTTGTCAAGATTCTTTTAATCTTAATTACTGTTCTATTGTTCACAATGGCTGCTGATATCACTAAATGCCTGGCAAAGGCACTATAATTATGCTGGTTTTCTTTTGTCAGATCACTATGTTGGTATATTTTACACTTGTTTGAATAAAATATACTGTCAGAAAGTCATGTATTCGAGAAGGCTGATATATTGTCCATCTTCATTTGTGGTAGATGCTAAATGTAGTATCTTGCATACTCACGTACAGATAGAAAGTAGTGTTTGATCCAATAAAATGTTGTCCTAGCTGTTAGGTACATACCACGTCATGTCGTTGATAAGTATAACATCTTAATGGCACAATCCTGTAAGTATAACCGTCAATCAGAACTACTAATTAATTCATTTGAACGACAAATTTACTCGTCTTTTATCGTTGTTGCCTCTGCAGTTACGATAGTAAATCCCCAAACGATGATTTTCTCTACTAGGAGAACAATATGTGATACACAAGAGAGCAACTCCTGTTTGTTCGTATTTTCTGTAGTTTAGAGACTAATATAACTGGAAAATTTACCAGGTGGCTATGGACAAGGACAGAATAAAGGAAACAATTTCATGTAACCTTAACAAGGGTGTCGGTTGTAACTTTAATTTATTAATTTTGAACCTGTAGACAATAACGTGTATCTTTCGTTACAGCTCCATCAACCGCAGGTACCAATAACTTCTGCACTGATAAATCCGATGGCTTCCATGCACTACCAGCAAATTGCAGAAAATTCTATCAATGTTCCAACGGCTATTTCTACGAGCATACATGCCCTGAAGGAACGGGCTTCAGTGTCATAAACAAAGTCTGTGATCACATCAGCAACATACAGGGATGTCTACCGTAATTGTTTTTAAACCAATCAGGATTAGGCTATAACGTCGCATGACTATTTGTTCTGTGAAAATAAGCAAAAAGTCTCTCAACTGAAAAGACTTTATTTATCTTTTGCCATGGCACTAAGTCTAGTTCATATCATGTACCATGTACCCAAATATCTTTTTCCATTAAATAAACTTTTTATCATTTAGCCTGTTATGTGTTTTCCAAGATTTTAAAAGACACTGATTTTAAACCGCAGATATAAAATGTAGTTATAAAGTACTTAATGCAGTTAATATAATTCTGTAGTGAACGCTGTGGATTTGAATTCATCACTAATTGTACTCTTTTAGAAATTTAAGGTATTAAAAAAGTTGTATTGTTTTCTTTTCTTTTCATGTTATTTATTTTTGCACCTGAACAATTTATTATATATAAATGTATATGTATGTATGTATGTATGTATGTATGTATGTATGTATGTATGTATGTATGTATGTATGTATGTATGTATGTATGTATGTATGTATGTATGTATGTATGTATGTATGTATGTATGTATGTATGTATGTATGTATGTATGTATGTATGTATGTATGTATGTATGTATGTATAAATGTGTGTGTGTGTGTGTGTGTGTGTGTGTGTGTGTGAAGTTTGTATTCCCGAACGATTGTACTTTTAAATAATCAATGTCATATGGCATTGAGTTTCAGGTTGACATGGTAACATTTTTCTTCTTGTAAGCATGTAAACATAGAATTAAAACTTGTAAAAGACGCCAGGTTTATATTAATGTCGGAACAATTGAACAGAAGAATCGTCAAAATTTATGGTGTGAAAAATGTGCAAAATGTTAACATGTGCATCAATATGGAGTTCATGCATAACTTAAATTTACATACTTTCTTGCATCTCACCAGATGTTGACGATCCACAAGCTCATGCACAGTGCGCATATGCAATTCAAGTTATAAGGTTTGGAAAGACAGATATATAACATTAAAGTGGTATTAAAAAAAACACCCGCAAATATGCGAAGGATTGATCCCGAAAGGCTACGTCCCTCCAAGTTCCTTTAAATTGATACGGCCAAAAGGCTTCATCTCCTCCAGTCCCCCCCTTCTCTCTCTCTCTCTCTCTCTCTCTCTCTCTCTCTCTCTCTCTCTCTCTCTCTCTCTCTCTCTCTCTCTCTCTCTCTCTCTCTCTCTCTCTCTCTCTCTCTCACACACACACACACACACACACACATGCGCGCACACACACACGTACACGCACGCACACACATATATTATCATAAGGAATATATTTATACTAATCAGCATCAGGAAATAGTGGAATTCAGTGGAATGATAAACAAGAATGAGCTAGATAATGAAAAACATAAACAACCAGTTGAAACAGAAGTATTTGAAAACATGTTGCTTTCAGGGTTATTTTTCATCTACATAAAATCTTTTTGAATAGATGATACGATAAAATACGGGAATAGTGCAAAAGGAACAAATAACTCGCTGAAGGAAATATTAAACGAATTTTTTTTTTTTTTAATCTAAGAATCAAAGTTCATGCCCACATGGAGACTCGAACTGCAGTGAAACGATTTAGTGATAAATGGTAACAGAACAGCAATACACATGACCTCTTCACTACTTGTAGCTAAATTGTTATTTATAATTATATTTTTGCCGTGTGAGGTTCATTAGGGTAAGATCAATTACTCCCAAATATTATGTTATTCATATTGTTAACAAATATTTCATACAAGTCTTTGCAATAAATAAACAGAAAAGCTCAGAACACTACAATATAATCATATCTTTAAAACACAACTTCTTTGAAAACTTTACTGCAATGTATTACTTTCTACAACATTTTACCAGTCTAGCCTTAAGCAAAGGATTTCTCATGTTGTGTATTGAAGTATTTCATTAAATGACAGGTACACTGTATCAATATTGTTACAATCATTTCATTATCTTTTAGACCTCCTTAGAAAATATTACGTAAACTGCTTGTTGTTGTGTGTTGATTTGCTGCTCGCGCCTCTTTTTTATTTAACGTACTCTCACTTCAGTATTCAGAACGAAAAAAAAATTGAAAAAAAAGAAACAGTACATACAACGGGTGACATTTGAATATGAATTTTATTTTTAAAAAAAAGAGGAGAAAAGGCATTTTGTGATAATTTGTACAGGAACTGTGTTTCCCATATGGCGTGGGACATAAGAGGTTTATTTCGTTTTTATTTTTTTAAAATCTTTTTCGGTCAAAAAATAAGACATCCTCTCAGGTGCATTGGTTGTTTGTGAGATGTTTTGAAGATGCAGACATATGTTGGCTTGTGGTTTTATCGAAAATAAAAACAAAATTAAATGTTTATTTCATGCTTGAGATACTCTATGTATTGTATTATTGTTGTAGTGGACATATAATAATTTTGCTATCTTCAAAATCAACTGATGCATTCATTGTTGCAGAAATATCAGTTTACATGTACTCAATACTGACCCGTTGCAGATATACACGGTTCCAACGAACGGAGACGCACTTAAGTTTTATCATTGTTCACACGGTCCAAATGCAGGAGCCAAACGAAAGTCTACTGAAAGATTATTCACAAATACCTTCACATTCTATTAAAATATGAATTTAATTGCTGCATGTGGACCACCTTAATTTTTAATAGCTCTAATTCAGTACAAAATGGTCTTTTTTATAACCAACTCGTTACATACTCGAGTACATGACGTCATATCGAATAATATAAAAATCAATTGCAATTTTAAAATTTGACACATTTTTTTGTCATGGTATTATCAGATCAGTACCGTTCTGGAATATTTGAGTAAAAGTTTAGGCCAAACACAGGCCCTATAATACTTACCCCATTTTCAGCTATTTTTCTTCACGAATATGAAATTACTTAACTACATCTATCTATATAAAAGGGGGTATTACCATAATCTTTGCATCAAAAGTAAACTTTCATAAGTAATTTATTTTTTGCTTGCCAACTGTAATTCTTTTAATCTATACCTTTTTCTTTCTCTCTGTATTTCCATCTCTTTTTTTTGCATTTTCAGTTTGATTTGCATCTCTCTTTTTTCATTTTACCATTGCATTTTCATTTCTCTTTCTTCTTTCTGATTTTGCGTTTGTATTTGCAGTTACCTCTCTTCTCTTTCCCTTTCTTGCCTCTTAGTTTCAATTTGTTGTTCTTTCAACTTTTTAATATTGGATTTCCATATTTTCTTTTAAAACTCTAGTTTCCTTATCTGTCTTCCCATCTTGTTTTCTTTTTAATTTCAAATTCTATAATTTCATCTCAGAGCTAGATACTAATTTATACCTTTGTACTAAAATTAGCTCAAATGGCCTAGTGGTTAGAGCGTCTGCCTCGGATGCAGGAGGTCGTGGGTTCGATCTTCGGTCGAGTCATACCAAAGATTTACAAAAATTGTATTAACGTCTGCCTCGCTTGACGCTCTGCATTAAATGATCAGTGTTAGGACAGGTCGGCCTGGTGTCAGGATGATGTGACTGGGCGGGACATCATGCTACATGTCTGCGGCATGATGCCCCAGTGCTAGACATCACTATAATCTGCCACACTGCAGACATCGTAGCGATATGACTGAAAAAATGTTAAACCTACGTTAAAAATCATAATCACATGACATATCTTGATTATAGATGAGTAGTATAATATTCAGCCATGAACAAAACCTACATAAATTATAGATACAGATACAGTTATGTATCAAGAGTAACAAATATATAGATATGCAATATATACGTGTAACATATCCATGAAGTTTTCTATGGTAGAAAACAAGTTGCAAAACGTACAACATATGCATTCTATATGGTACACTGTACGCCAAAGAATATGCAACCATAATTGCGCTTTGATGCAAATAGGAATGAATTGATTCCTCCTTTTTCTGGGCAATTACTTCTTTTGATTTTGCTTAAATATTTATTTTGACAGGACGCGGACGATTCATAAATCAGTATACACCAATGCGGTTCATTTGTTAGCGTCGTTGTCGTCGGTACTGTTATGTCTTCGTCGCTATTTGCATATGTAATTTTCCCTTCACATTTTTGTTCTTGTTACAGTTGTTTTTGCCATGTAACCAATAAACTGATGTGTGAATATATTCATAGTATCGTCATGACATCACACACACACTACGCAGGCTAGAAGATAATATATTCATAGTGTCGTCATGACATCACATACACTACGCAGGCTAGGAGAAAATATATTCGTAGTGTCGTCATGACATCACACACACTACGCAGGCAGGGAGATAATATATTCCTAGTGTCGTCATGACATCACACACACTATGCAGGCTAGAAGATAATATATTCATACTGTCGTCATGACATCACACACACACTATGCAGGCTAGGAGATAATATATTCATAGTGTCGTCATGACATCACACACACTATGCAGGCTAGGAGAACATATATTCATAGTGTCGTCATGACATCACACGCACTACGCACGCTAGGAGATAATATATTCATAGTGTCGTCATGACATCACACACACTACGCAGGCTAGGAGATAATATATTCATAGTGTCGTCATGACATCACACATACTATGCAGGCTAGGAAAACATATATTCATAGTGTCGTCATGACATCACACACACTATGCAGGCTAGGAGATAATATATTCATAGTGTCGTCATGACATCACACGCACTACGCAGGCTAGGAGATAATATATTCATAGCTTCATCTATGATATGACACTTAAGAAGAATAATTGTAATACAAGCTATTCAAATAAACCTTTGCGTAAAAAGCCATATTTGTCCTAAACGTTATATAATTGGAATTTATTATTACATAAATCCAGAATGGTCAATGCATTACAACCCACTGTTATATTAGGTCAAGAGAAATAAAATCAGATTGACATTTTAACATAGAGAAGTTAATAGTATTTTCGGTGTCTGCATTTGAACCAAATATTTGGACATTGCTCACGTTTTACCATTTACACTCATGTGCAAGTAGAGTACAACTGCAAACTGCACAAACTCTGATCAGCTGTCGTATAATGGCCAGACATATCTGGAGCTACGCAATTTGTTAAGAATAATTAGTGGAACAAACATCACTGACCCTGATATGCTTGCGCATTATGCGATGGCAAACAGGTGTCTATATTATTTGCAACTGGACTCCACTTAAACGCGAGTATTGAGTGTAGTTTGCTTCACCAGGGCATGTCCAACAGCAAAACATCTTGACCTAAGATTCAACCTGCCATTCAGCTATATCAAAGTATTCCAGAGGACATCTATCAAATTCGATTACCACCTAGATGTGTGCATAATCTGGTAGCTGGACAAAATCTTACAAAACGATTAAAGTTAATACAAGTATACCATCTGTACAAGTTCTAGTCTTTGTAACTTGCATTTTCCACCCAATTCTCACGAACTTGTACAGTATACGTATAAGTCTTATTTCAATCACAGACAAAAACTAAACAAAAAACAATACCAACAACAACCCAGCCGGTTAAAACTACCACCAAAACAACAACCCAATGAAATTTTCGAGCTGACTGGAAAGAAATAATCCGTTCCACCATATTACTTTACACGTGCCTACATGACACCGAGATTTGTTACCTAATTATGTATGCACTATCTTAAAACTGACATCAAGTCTCATTATTAGTACTCGTTGAATATAGTATACGAAAACATTACTACACAGACAGGGATTCTTCAATGATCAAATTTGTGGTTACGATTTTTTAAAGGTCAATTTGAGACGTACTCAGCTCGTTTTTGTCACCCGCTTTTTATTCTTAAAACAAATTAAAACCTAATTATATTAAAAGCTACGGTAAAAATCATCATCACATCACATAAAATAGTAGCATTTTGCACATTTTCAGAGCACTGTATCACGTGTTACAGTGAGTATCCTGTTCGAGATTGTTCCATAAGGATAAAGTTTATGGGTCAGAGGTAAAATATAAAAGTAAAACTTGAAATTATATTGATACGTTTAATATTTTTAAAATTTTACACCTGCAATTATACCAGAGATTTAACATGGATAACGAATATTTGCATTTTCATCACTTGCTTCATCTGTTCAGATAATTAGTCACTTTTTATTAATACACCAGGTTTGCTGTGAAGCCGACAGATTCCATACAGCCTTAATACTGTGTGAAAATTACGTAAATACGTTGGATTGATCCAAAATCGAGTCCTCTAGGTAAAGACTATATATTTAATGGACTTGTTGGAGTTAAATGAATATATCATGCTGTACCAACACACAATTATCGGACATGGGTGAAAATTATCTATATGTGATCTGATTTTATTATATAAATCTTTTATTTACAAAACAAATAAGAATAAGTAATCGTTCTTAATATAATGCTGACATGAAAAGACAGAACAAATAGCAGAGCAGAAATATGGAATTTCACCGAAACGATTAGGGAACTTAATTATTTCAAGTCATATTTTTAAAAGAAACAAATTAAGTTGCCTGTAATATTGTACCAAATGGAAAGGAAAAACAAGCAAACCTAGCTAAACTTTATTTTCGCAACAGTTATGGTACAGCATGAAGGATAGGAACACGGGGTAAATGCAATGAGAAAGAATGACTTTATATTTCAGAGATCTTTCATATTTAAGGGTGGTAGGGGTAATTGGCGTCTTTCATCGTCTTCTTGACCCAGTCTGAGTATTGGGAAACGTCCTCGAATACGCCAGGCTCATCGTGAAGTTTGCAATTGCCACCAGAGGACGCTATACCTAAAACAGAAATGATAAATAATGTGGAATAGTAGATAAAAATTACGACAGGACACATTTTTAGTATATTTTAAATGAATAAATGTAATCCTTGGTAAAAAAAAAATTGATTTTTACAACACGACTTATGCTAATTTTGTACTTGGGCAATCCCGTTGAGAAAGTATGATTTTGTTGGGAAAATGAAACGGCAGGACATGAGAAACAAATTCGTTGTAAGCCATTGGAGGTAAAATCCTTACGTTTCATTCATTACATGTTATGATAGTCATGTGAGCAATAAAAGCCAACTCTTTTATATGGATGTCCCATATACATTCCAGCTTTTATTTTAGTTGACAGATCAATGCAAACTTACCACACCATGTGGCAAATATATGTAACCAAGACATGTGGATGAAGATGATTGCATGACAAGAACATTTTGAATTTCAACCATCATTTAGCCATAGTTTGGAGCTAAGAAGACAAAAGACGGCTGTCGAAACTCAATATTTACATTATGCAGGCATTTATATAAAGTAAATACTTGGTATAGAAGGAAGACATCTCGTTATTGAAAATTGTTGCCCTCGTTCTGTAAGATGTGCTTTTGGAACTTATTCAGTGAAGAGACAAATTTCATCGATACCCAGCTTGAAATCAATCAATCAATCTATAAATCAGTAAATGAGAGAAAAACATTTTAAAAAGAAATTCAGTTGTCAAAACATAAATATATAAAAAATATTTTACAAGCTAAATTATTTGTCTGTATTCATGAAGAAATATGGTTACAGGGTTCGTCCACCAGTATACGATGATTGCTTTTGGAAAACGTCACGCACAGCCAATTTAATATGTTTTGCTTCTGTAATTTTCATTATAATGCTAGATGCTGATTCAACAATTCATGACCAACCAGTTGAAAGGCATTTAGCTAACTCTTCCTCGTTATATATCTGGCTATATTCAATTACGAAATTGGAGGGTATCTGCTACATCCCTGGCTTTATTCAATTACAACTTTGGTGGATTATTTGTTTCTGCAGTGGTCAGTGCCGGATTTAGACAAAGCGAGACCCTAATCTATGTGAAGCTATAGAGGCCATATTTGGTATCAAATAAATCTGAGGGGCCCCTTCAGACTGAGTTCAGAGTTTGAAGCCCTAATCTGTAGTTAGTTTAGCTTATGCCTAACTCCGTTATTGTGTTCAATTACGGCATTGGAGGATATCTGCTAGAGTCCTTGCTGTGTTCAATTACAGCATAGTTGACATATCATATACACTTAATGTGTGAACCTTGATATGAGAAGTCGTACATAAGCTAGATTTTGCGTGCTACGACACCTATATTTTAAAGACAAGGGTTCAGCTGAATGCTGTCTCACATGGGAACGTCATTATTATGATGCATTTTTTTTTCTTTCGAGCGCATACGAGAGGAAATCACACCTCATCACAAAAGGTATTCATGCAATAATACTATGCCAAGTTGTAATTTATTATAGCGAGTCATGTACGCTTCAGGAGACTATAAAAAACATTATTGAACATTGTTGACAATGACGAGAACAATTTTCAGAAAAGTAATAGTTATCTAAGTCTCGCCAAACTCATATAAGAGAACAGATC